TGAATGACTTTATGTAAATATTTTATTATGTTTATGCAATTGACACTTTGAGCTCAACTATATATATGTTTCTGTTATTATCTGTTTTCTCTTGTATACGTTATGTTGAGAATGACGATGACAAGTTTTGTTTTAGATAAAGATATTCTAAGCATTATTGTGGACCCATTATGTATTTGAAAGGTTGTGTTAGGCAATAGACTAATATTGTAGTGCATGGAAGGGACTATGCCAAATAAAGTGGTGTACAACCGCCATGACTCATATTAGTTGATTTACTTATTAACGACGAATGATGTTGGATTTAACATTGTGCACATGACGATTAACATGCATATTAAACCATTAAGTTAAAGGTCGTGCGCCAAGTGGGAGAATGTAAATTTTTATGGCCTACTAATTATATTTTGGTTTAATAATTAATATAAGTTAAATCCTAAATATGTTTGGAGAAGTGGGGAAGTGGAGAAGTTACTTATATGTGTGGAGAAGTGGGGAAATCACTTAGTAACTTTCAACTACCCATTAAGTCTTCCAACTATCCATTACCTTTTCCAACAACCCATTAAGTGGGGATTACTTGGTAGTTTTAAAACTACCCATCATCTCCACTACTCACCATGATGGAAAGGTGGGAATGATGTTAAAAACACTCTTATTTAAAGGATCTTCTCTCTGCCGAAAAGATATAGTCTTATCCATCAAAGTTATTCATAAAGTATAAGGCAAGAGAGAGAAACAACTTCTGAAGAACCAAAAGAAAAAGACTTCCGCTCAATTCAAGCCAAGATTCTCGAAAAACACTATGGTTGATTCGGGTATGTATTCTTGACTGAATTATTATAGTAATAGATTTATGTGAAAATCATGTAGTTCTACGATCATGAATAATTGATAGGATTTATGAATGTTTAGATTGTTTATATTTTCACAATCCATTAAATCCTCACAAACCCCTCTTCTCATACTAATAACACAAGAACATTCACAATGTAGTTATTTAAGAGCCTTGTTTATGGAGAGATTTCTCCTAAACATATTTATAATTTTTTAGTAGTAGTTTTCAATTTGTAGGTCGCTTGACTAAATCATATTAATAATATATCTTTAGTATGTTTTTTTTGTCGTCTGATTTGTCAATCATATGATTTGCAATTGTAAGCTTTCACATGACGCTCTAATCACCTTCATAATCGAACAAGTGGTATCAGAGCACATGGTTGAATGATCCGATGGAACGAAGTTGAAGACAGGTTCAACACGATTTTAAATCAATTTTGCAATAAATTTGATGATAATGAAGATTTTGTCAAGCTACATGTGGAGAAGAAGTTTTTAAATCATATTTTCAACATTTTTGTAGCTGCAATTTTAAAAATAAAAAATAAAATATTTTTAATCCATATATTTTAAACTTTATTTTTAACCATGGCAAGCAGCAGTGATGAAGACTTTGTGAAGAATAAGATTATCAAGCAGTGAAGAAGGCGAATCAAGTTTTGTCAAGAAAATTCAGTCAAAAGGAGAGATTTGTTAGGATTTTGCTATGATTTTCTTATTTTATTTGAATTTTATTTTTTCTTAAAAGAAAGACAAAACATTACAATAAATGTTTTTACTTTTCATGAAAGGAAAATATATTTTTCTTCCATATTTGGTTTATTCTTTCCTTAGAGGAAAAGTTAGGAGATGTATAAATTGAAGACCCTTCTTCTCATATCAATAACACAATAGCATCCACAATGTAGTTATTTAAGAGTCTTGTTTATGAGGAGATTTCTCCTAAACATATTTATGATTTTTTTTAGTATTAGTTTTCAATATGTATGTCGCTTGACCAAACCATATTAATAATATATCTTTAGTATGTTTGTGTTTTTATTTGTCATCTGATTTGTTAACCATATGATTTGCAAATGTAAGTTTCTATATCAAACCCTAATCACTTTCGAACCCAACACTAATCACCTATAATTGCTGCAAGTTTAGAACATAGTATTTATGAAACTATAGTTATCTTAAACAGAAATACTAAGATCATCCAATTCGCTAAATTGACCTAACAAAAAACCGTAATTGTCAACAACAGGAACGACCAGTTTCTGCAAAAATTTAACATCTGTATCACCTGAAGTTAGTATCCACTGCCCCATCCACATTTCTTCATCACTTTCTTCAACCCCATTCAATGAATCCGAGGTTTGTGCATCCACTTGATCAGTAGAAGAAGAACCAAGTTCAGATTTTGCAGAAATACCCTTTTCCACATTTGCATTTATAGCCTTCTTCAATTGCTCATCAATCTCATCCACCATTAATATTGGCTCACAAGAATATATGTTGCAAATATATGAAGTTTTTATGGAGTAAAGAGATGAAAATATTCTTTTTTATTTAGGGAGGAAGAAGATGAAGAAGAAATTGATTTTGGGATTTAATTTGTCATGAGTTTTGTTTTGTGGGTTAGATTCGAATTTGGGTCAAAAAGATGAAATTGGATAATTTCAATTGAATTTGGTTAATTTGAGTCAATTTGGGACTTTACATCAAATGAGGGGTAGATATGGTTAAATTAACAATGGTATGGATAAAACTAACTTCATTTTAACGGCAAGGGCTTAGTCAACCAATAAAATAAAGTTGATGGTATTTTTGACCCCTTTCCCTTTGTTGAATCTAATATATCCAATTCCTTATTATTCGAAATAAATGAGTCAGTTTGAATGGTTCTTGTTTAATTAAGTTGTTTCTCATCACTGTATTCTATATGCATGCTTCGAATATTGTTAGTACTTCAGTTTCTATCGATTTTTCTCCAATCTCCTTTATTTGTGGTTGCATACACTAATTAAATCTCATGAACAATAAGTATAGGAACTCTCTTCTTGATTACCTCTATATGCATTAATTCACTTTTAACCTTCTTGGTTAGAGTTCTTATAATAAAATGTTTGTCATGTTAAGTCTTGGAGAGAAATTTTACAAATCTTGAATTTTCATGCTCTCCACACAGAGAAAGATATTTTGAATGGCATAATCATTTATCCAAATATATAGTATATATATTATTCCCATGTTGAATGTGTTTTTATGTAGATACACTTCATTATATATATATCTGGCTAACATGTATCTAAGATGTGTTAGAACTTAGATACATGTATCCAGGGCTTAACATATTGCAAGTCTTCATTGATTATCATCTGATCAACTTCTTTATCCTCTCATACAATCTGTGGTTTTCCATGCAAAAATTGAAGTTGTTTCGTTAGAGCTTTTTGTTGTTGTAAAACAAGATTGAGAATAGATCCATAAATTTCTAAGGGTATTGGTGGTTATAATAATTGGTTTCAGAATATCTCAACAAAATAGTGATATTGATCATTGTTGAATAAAAAAAAAACCTTAAAATTATTGGAGAAGAATTTGAGGAAGAAAAAGTGTAAAATTTGTTGAATCTCAAAAAAAAGAATTGAAATGATTTCGATTGTTTTGATTATCTTTTAAGGAATTGTCATACATTAGATACTCCAAAGTTGTTACAAACATGATTTTCTTTTTAGTTTATGACTTTAGTTACATTCCTTATTTAGATACACTTGATTATATGTATCTGGCTAACATGTATCTAGTTGTGTTAGATACATGTATCCAGGGTGTAAATTATGATCACAGGATTCTCAATATAACAAATTCACACAAAAAAAGGTAATTAACTACTAAATTAGTGAAATTTATGTTGGTTTCATCGGTAATATGTACATATAAATATGGTTTCCAAATAAAGTATGGTATCTACTGATTTTGCTTCTTTTTTATATTCTGGATGATTCAAGAGTTTGTTGTATTGTGTCTCAAATGATCTTTCCAAAAGCTGATTTGTAAATGTGTGATAGTACGTAGCAGAGTTGCACTTCCTCAATTGAGGTGAGGAATATATGATACCCAAAATTTTGTCGCCAATGACAAATGCAGTCATTTGTTCTTATGCTTTAGCATGATAAAAGGTACTACAATGTTATTCTCTATAGTGCTTAGTTCAGTGTAATAGCCCACAAATCACAATGGAGATGTAACCACACTAAGCAAGTCTTGTGCAACAAGTTCAACCGAGAAAGCATTCAAAGAGTTTCGAACCTGAGACCTCTCATTTGGGAGGTCGCCTAACTAAATTAATCATATTATGCATCGCCAAATAATTTTTTTCAACCTACCAAGGATACATGTCTAGCCGTTAAGGTGATCCTATTTTAATTTATGTTAAATATTTTTGACTTAATAAAAATTGTAAATGTCATCTTCTATGGTGTGTGACTTATCTTAGGGACTCGTTGTTTAGCAACTTGCAAACAATCTATTTTATTTGCATGTTAGAAGTTCGTTTCATGAAATTTGAGATAATTAAAACTCATTTAAACTCAAAATAAATAAATAGTTGAACCTTTAATTTTAATTCTAACATTGGCATCAAAAACATAATTCTATTAAACCACCAAAAAAAATATGATTCCATTAAATACACCAAAAACTAAAAGATGAGGGTAGTCTTGACACCAAAAGCAAACAAGGGGTAAAATTGAGTTACTTTTGATAGTTCGAGGGCAATTTTCCCCCCTTTTTTGCCACAGTGAATTGTTATGTTAGCAATAAATGGCTTACGTGGACATCCATTAATTTGGAGGGCATTTGTTGTCCAAAAAATAGACGGGAAATATATTTTTGAAACTAAAAACAAATAGAGAGTAAATGTGAGCTACCCCTGTTGTAAAAAGAAAAAAGAAAAGAATTCGTCATAATTTTAAACTTACACAAGGTAGTTCGAAGATGTTCTCAATAAACACTTGAATAATTATTGAATTTTCATTTTACGAGATCCTATAAGACAAAAATCCCCCATGACATCTCAAGAAAAAAAAACTGATCTCTATCAAAATTATATTGTACAGATTCTGTTTTTGCCTTCATCAACTGCGAATTTCCCTTGTCATCAAAAAATATATATCTAGCCTCTACAAAAACCCTATTACATCTTTTGACCTATGAAAATTTCTTAGCAGCAAGAATGATGCCTACATAATTTTAAAGACGCGATTATTTTCACTATGATACAATTAAATAACAAACTACATGATGGTAGGAAACAAAAAGGGAAAACAAGAATTCAGTAATCTCCTCTCCTACTAGTGACAAGGTCGCTAGTGATATCATCCTCTTCATTTTCACATTGTTGCAGAAATTCTTTGTAAGACTCATCATAAGCAGTAGCCATTTGCAGATAATTAATTGCATCATTTTTGCGGCCAACATTGATCAACGTACTGGAAAATAATCATGTACCAGTTTAATCAATTGTAGAATTGGAATATACAAGAGGTTTTCTAGAACTTGCTTTGAGAATATAAACTTTGAATCAAGAATTAAAACAAACCTTTACCTTGACAGTAGTACTAATCCGTCATAGTAATGGGCCTTGCTCTTTGGGTCGTCTGGCTCTTTCAATGTGGCTATGCGTTCCAGGTGTGCAAGTCCCTCTCCCATCTTACCCTATAAAAGAAAAGGAATGGTGCAATATCACTATGAGAAACCTACTTCCAGTATATAACTCAGACACGAACTAACCTAGATTTCAGGCTTGGCTCAAGAGAGGAGAGACCTTGAGATATCAGCCACTGACCGAGCCCAAAAATATGGCAAGTCAAGCTCAAAATACCACAAGGAAAATAGAAGTTGGGTCCAACTAAGCTCTACTAAGAGAGCAACTTAGACAGTCATCATATTTAGAGGGCATAAACAACGTCTAGAATCCTTAATATGAAGATTCAAGAATCAAAAAAAAAGGAGGAGGAATTGAAGACTACATTAACCACTATTCTGGAGGTGTCAGCAGCCTTTCAGCTTCATCCACTATCCACCATCCACACAAACTCCAGGCTCTGAGAAATCAGCCGACAACCAACCCACATTCATATAATTTGTTTGATTCAATCTTAATTTGAGTCCAACAAGTGGGATGAGGAAAGAAAGGGAGTGAGGTTTAGCCAAAAGAGATTTTGAGAACCAGTATTCTTCCGAATTCTTAATGCTGGAGATCTCCAAAAACTTACGAATTCTTCAGAATTCTTAATGCTGGAGATCTACAAAAACTTATGATCAAATTGTGGTCTAGTACAAACTAATTACAAAGACCCTATAAAGACTCTCAACTGATCAGCTTCCTCTACATTTGCTTCCTTACACTAAAAATAAAAGTTCATAATACAATTCCACTTATTCATATCAAACACATGTAAGTAGAAGACACCTTTCGATGTAAGTTGACGCTGGCCTTAGGCTAGAGTTAGGGTCGATCCCACAAGGAATGATGTCGACACACTGGCTACCACATCTTCATCTGCACCACTTGGTCCTTCAACCGCAGAGGTTGGAGAGAAGGGGTACTATTGGCCCTATTTGGAGATGCAGACACTACTCGTGCGGCTGGGAGGTATTGGCAAGGGTGCAGAGGAGCGCGAGAGGAAGCGGGAGCGACGTGCACTCGAGGCGGCTTGGCGATAATGAGGATGCGAGATTGGAGCGATTCCGGCAGCAGGTAGCTGGAGCTTCGAGCTCGGGGCACTACAGATGGTGCTCCCCAAACTGTAATAGAGGCACACACTGATGCACCGGGGTCTCCACCGACGAACCCCCACACCTCTAGATAGTTCTTTGGCACTTAGGCGCCACAGGTTTGTCTTCACCCTCAGTTCTTTAGTTTTAGTGCAATGGGGACATTGTGGGGGTGAGATAAATCTGTCTAAGAGTGTAAAGGATGAAGTCTGAATAGCCTGAACACTCGGATCATGCCTAGGGATTTTCTTGCCTAGGTTCTTTTTCCCCAAGGACTATTAAATTTCTGTTGAACCGGGCATGTTTAGGATGTTGATTGTGAAAGTCGACTAGAAACAAAAGCATGATGGCAGTATTGATGAGATTGATATCCCTCCAAATTAAATTTTTGTGGGCTTTGTGCTATATTTGTGTAATTATTAGCGAATTGTGTAGGATCTTTGTACAACATGATAGGAACTGATAGGATAACATGACTTAGGTTGAAGCATGAACCAGATACTCCGATAATTTGATAGTGAAATGATGTGCCATGTGCGTGTTAGTTCATTCATACAATATGTGTCAATCTAGAACTTGCCCCGTTAGTCTTGCTAGGATTAAACTGTTAATTAGGAAAGGATCATAGTCATTGTTGAAGTTAAGTCCACCAAGCCTAAAAGCAACCAACCTAATAAAGAGCTCCCTTCGATCCAAATTTGTTGAGCCTAAAATAGACCGTTCTTTCAATATACCCAATTCACCTCCCCTTGAATGTTAACCTTTGTTTTGGCCCTGGTCCCTCCTTGGACATCGTGCACCTCAACGCAGGCTAAAAGCCTAAGTTGAGGGTGGCTACTATAGAGGAAAACAAGAAAAGAAAGGGCTATGAGAAGAGTTGTGTATTGAAAAAAGAGGAGAAAATTAAGATGGTGTGGCAGCCGAAAGAAAATAAAAAGATAAGAGAATAAAAAGCTGAAGAAAAGTTTGAAATGGAAAAAAAAAAGAAAAACAAGTCAAAAGCCACACCAAGCCATAATGAAAAACAAAATGAGGAGAACAGAAAATAGAGGTGACACAAGTATTGGTTGTAAAAAAAAGAAAATAGCCAATGTAATGTCAATAAGGGCAGAAAAGTCACTTTAAATCTAAATACACCACACCTAACCCTGAGCCTACGTTACAAGCTAAAAAAGTCCTATAGTGATCCTAATTTAACGGTTCGAGAGTCTAAGTGTAGAAGATAGGGGCAAGCCTATGGTCTTGAGCATGTATTGTATTGAATACAATTGTGAGAGTGAGCGTATACCGAGACCTTGAACTTGAAATACAAGTTGATATCTCTATGAAAAATAGGACTTCTTTGTGGTAAGGGCACAAGTTACATTGTCGAAACGTCAGTATCTTGGTAATTGTTATTTGTGTATGTAAATGTATCTCTATTCGTATGTCTATGACATGAATAGATCCTCATGTGTTGGCTTGCTTTGAACTTAACGATTGCATTGTGTTGAAAGATAGAAAAGGAGGATGGATTATTGAGGAAAAGGCCAAATGATTGCTTGAGTTCTAGGTTTACTTTTGCATCGTGTCCTTTTAGTGTTAGCAAGTGTCGCTTGAGGACAAAGCAACAATTTTAAGTTGAGGGAGTCGATGTACCGCGGATTTACTATACTTATCATGCTTTAAACTTGGGGTTTTGCATGTCTTAAGCATTTGTTAGTAGATTTGATGGTATTTTACGTGTGTTTTGCAAAAATTTCTATGGTCTGTAGTATGTACTCTTAGACTCCAACAGTGTTATCAAAGGCGCGCTTAAGCCCTAAAGTGAGGCTCAAAACGTGTTGAGCGCTTCGCCTCGCGTTATGTGCGCTTCAGTGTCGTCATCAAGGTTCTAAGGCAAACGTTTCCTTACCAATGAACCTCGTATGAAGAAGTGACACTAAATAATTGATATTTATTTTTCAATTTCTTGGTCATATATTTGTCATTCATGTTTATAATTATTAGTCTTGGACTAAACATATATATTTGTATTATTTTCTCCCTTTGTGCCTTTTTTCATTAAAGCCCACGCTTTATTTGCGTTTTGCGCTTAAAGCCCTCATGAACCTTAGAGCTTTTTTGCACTTTTCGCCTTTGATAACACTGGACTCCAGGTATGTTTCTAAATTTTGCTAAGTGTAGAGTCAAACTATGGAAGCCTTCTACGAATCATAGGAAATCCTACAGCCCTGTAGACGGGCTTTTGTAGAACCCAGTAAACTTAAATAAAAAGACCCGATCCGAACCCTCCATTTCAAATTCATTCCCCATTTCCCTCTTCCTAAACCGTTTCAACTGTTACACCCCTCCGTTCCCCACCCTTTCATCATCCATCACACCACATTATAAACCCACAACTCCATTATCTTCCTCTTCTTCTCCATTTTCCTTTTCTTTCCTTTTCCCCCAAAATTCTCATCCTCCAACATTTTACAAGAGAAAGCCATGGGTCACAGTCAGTAGGAGTCAAGGAATTCAAGTCGTTGTCAAAATCACACACACTCACACAACCTAATTTCACTGAAAAGGTATGGATGCAAATCCTAAAAGTATCAATTTTGATGTTGAAATTACGTTGTACTTAACCTAGGGTTGAATTTATTGTGTTTCTCATTGCTTATAACAAATGATGATGTTGAACCCTAAGAATGATGAATTGTGAGTGTTTGTAGTGAAACTAATGTGTGTCCATGATTAGGAATCTTAGGTTCGGCTGTTAGTTTGACTAATTTTGTGATGAGAGTGTGAAATAGGCTCACTGACCTGGGTTGTTTGCGATATGCGATATGAGGATCTTCTACGGACCGTAGAAAATTCTACAATCCGTAGTTGCCCCTTGTAGACAAGTCCCAGGTATCAGTGTTGCCTATTTCACTCCTGTGTTTGTACGATCTCTATCTACGAGTCGTAGGATCATCTACGGATCGTAGATACGACTCGTACAAACAACTAATGTTTAAAGATATATGAGGGGGACTACGGAGCCTGTCTACGATCCGTAGAAATTACTACGGCTCGTAGATCAATCTCGTAGTCCCAAAGTGCACAAACCAGTAGCCTAAGTTAGGAACTACGGGTCGACATACGGTTCATAGGAATTTTGACGGACCATACTGGCGAACCATAGTTCCAACTTCATAAACTTAAAAATTGGCCTCTTTTCCTACTACCCGTAGAATGTTAGAATCAAAAATAGTGTTATTCCTGAATTTTTTATTTTTTTTAGGTTTTGTAGTTTTGTTTTCAGTTCTTGCTTTCTTTTAGCACTTCTAAGGTACTAACAATGCCTCCATAGGTACAATGCCAAGAAGGGGGGAAAATCCACCGGATCTTCATCTCGGTCCGAGGCCTCATCCAAATACCAGCTGAGGGATGAACCTACTGACGATGAGCTAAGTGGGGATCTCATCGCAGTCGGGAAAACTCACTATTAAACATCTCTACAGTAGACCCCTATCATCAAAATGAGGGGAAACCATTAATGTCTTCTGTTCCGGAACTATAGTAGGTTCTTAGCGTGTCCACCTTTTCTTGTGGATTGCTTCCTTGTAACTTCCTTCTCTCTTGAAGGATTGGGCTAAGAAGAGAACCAAGGACTAATTTGAATTCACGCTCAGATAAATATATTAAGGAGAGTAAAGTGAACAATTTATCTCGGAATTTCATTGAACAAGAAAAAAATGTTTTATTACATGACATCTGCAAAACTAATTTACTCTGTAATTTGATAGCCCATATCTATAGACAGTATGCTTCAACATCATCACAAGCAGCCCATATCTGAGTGTTATATATATATATATGCCTCAAATTCTTTACAAAGACATACATCCACTCATTAGCTTTTGATGATCTTCAAGCAGAAACAATTACATATGTCTAAAAGTTAGACAAATTGAGGTGAGCTAATATTGCTACTCGTATTAGACATGAACTTCTCCATCAAAACAAGCAACTTTTGATCCATTTTCATCTGTATACATGTTCAGATTGATTTAATGCTACTCCAAGTCTTTTACTTTCCCATCAGAAGAAGGCAGTTTTCGGTTTATTTTTCGTTTAACTAACCTAAGACTGGACTAGTAACTTACATTAAAGACCCCCTGTTTATTAAGCTTGCAATGCGGCTTACAAGTCCGAACCACCCCTCGTTAGGCTTGTTTCCAGGGATAATAATCACTGATCTAGTTTGATCATTCACAATAACCAAAACAAATCTACCATACTTCTTGTACTGAGGTTAAGCTAATTTAGAATAGTGAAAAAAAGTAAAGTGAGAACATGCAATGGCTAGGATTTCCTTCAATAAATGGACAAGGCAGAAATACAGGGAAGAAGAGTAATCAGTTTGTCTAGAATATGGAGAGGGGAGGGGGAAGAGCAGCTAGGTATTGGGGGAGGCCAGGTTAACTCCTCACTATCATTATATAGAAGAGCAGCAATCAGACATCAGCAGGCCTTTAGGGGCATGTGGGGTCTATAAGAATAAAACATCCTCCCTCCGTTTCAATTTGTTTATCCTATTTTGACTTGGCATGGAGTATAAAAAAGTAAAGAAGACTTTTGAATCTTGTGGTCTTAAATTAAAGATATATCAAATGTAACAAAATGCCCTTTAATCTTGTGGTCTTAAACATGTCATATGAAAAGTTGGAATTAAAGAGTTGCCAAAAAGGAAAGAGGCACTTTTTGAAACGGACTAAAAAGAAAAGTAGGACAAGCAAATTGAAACAGAGGGAGTATATACAAATGGAAGATGAATGATTGAGGAATTTCAAGCTAAACATACGGTAGATAATGAGGAATTTCACAAAAACATTTGAATAAAAAGGCAAAATGGTTTGGTGGACCCCTGTACTTGTACCAGTTTGTATTATGGACCCTTCTACTTACGTCTTTGTCATCTGGACCCTTACACTCAATAAAGCACAATATATCAAACCCCTCTGACCATTGACCATGCTTATGTGGCATTAAGATGGTTGAGTTGGCAAGAGAGTGAGGCTACACGCCTATTAAGGCAAGTGAACACCATATTTAAATTATAAGAGAATAAATAATAAACTTAAAAAAGAATAAAAATCATTCTTCTTCAACCAACCCATCTGCTTTTTCAGCCATCCATCCTTGCCCAACCCCTTTTTTTTCTTTCTTCCATCTTCTTTGGCAAAACAGTCTAGTACACCAGAGGCGGCGAGGAGCCTCCTAGCATGTTTGTATGCCGGAGGCAGTGAGGAGTTTCTTGGCCTTTTGGTACGCCGGAGAGGATGGAGAGCATAGAGGGTCCCTAGTGGTTCGCAGCAGTCAGCAATGGTTCGTAGCGATCGATAATGGTGAGGGGCGAGGAGCTGGTGCGGCGGATTAGGGTTTCTGGATTTGTGGAAGTTGGAGAAGGAAGAAAGAAAAATGGTGAGGGTGTGCGAGAAGATGGAGGCTGGTGTGGGAGATCGTATTTGTGGTTTCGCCGGCAAGAGGAGCGGCACCAGCAGCGACTTTCTCCAGCAGTTGGGCCATTTCACGGTGAAAATGGAAGATGATGTGAGGAGACCCAAACTTTTAATTTAAAATAATAAATTAAAATTTAATTTGTCAAAATTGCATCAAAACTTTATGATTTTTCTTGTCAAAAAAGAAGTTATTATAAAAATAAAAAATGATGTGGCAAATTTTATCTGACATGGAGTGTGACATCAGCGCGATTGAGAGTCACGATGAGTTGAAAGGGTTCAACAGGTTGAGTTTAGATGGGTTTAGGGATCAAGATGACAAAGAGGTAAGTAAAAAGGTTCACAATACAAACGCATACCAGTACAAAGGTCCACCAGACCATTTTGCCGAATAAAAAGAGAACTAAGATGAAACTTCTAGCAACTACAACCCCAGAGAAAAAGGAAGAGGGAAATTTTGTATAGAAACCTTCTCGTCTGAAAATCATTTAAAATTATACCACAATAGTGTTTCAATAGTCCAACCCACTTAAAAGTGTACCCAAAATAAATCCCCTATATACATGGTTTCTCTATTGTCGGCACTCCGCCATGTCACATGGAATCAGGTAAATGATGCAAGGTACTCAATATCTGTGACTAGAATTGTTATTGATTTATGTCAAGTAAATATGGTGTCTGAGATGAACTTGAATGGAGTGGTCAGTGAGAATTCATATAGCCGATCCCAGTTTGCTCGGGATCGAGGCATAGTAGTTGTATTTATAAGTCAATCATCAAGCCATTTTCTCAAAATACCATTACCTGCCGTATACAGGCAACACCTGCCCATTGAGATGATAGAATCAGCAGATCTACATCTTCAATTTCCATTTGATTCTCCTTTAGCAGAAGCTGACCTTGCAGAAATTGACTTTGATCAATGACCAGTAACAAATCAACTCTACTTTGATTACAGCAGCCAAGTTAAGTTTTCTGCAGAGTAAACTGCATACTACATAAACTGTAAAAGGTCCCAAATATAGAAAAACAGATTTTGACTTTCCCAAATTCAGTCACCCTTTCCATGAACTGAAAATAATAACGTTCAGGAAATTCTTAGTCCACGAAAGCAAATTGATCTTCTTCATCAAGAAGATCAGTAAACTCAAACTGAAATGCGGGACTTCAAACTCAAACCTTAGCAATGGTACGTTCCAAGTATTCAGTAGCTTCTGGTAAGGAACCATCTTGCAACAGTGTCTGGCCAACAATAAGCAAAGCTCGAACATTCTCAGGATCCTTGGCGATAGCAAGTCTGTAACACATATATTAAAAAGAGGATGCTACAGAGAAGGAAAAAAAGAAATGAGGCGGTGAGGATTGCTTTTATTAACAGAGAGAAATACCGTAGAAAGGACATAGCTTCATCTTTACGTCCTCCTGCTAAGAGTTTGATCGAGAGCTGATGAGATTTCAACAAACGAAGATTTAGAAAGCAGCAAGAAAAATTCAACATTTCAAGTCTCAATATCAGGAAACGAAAATAGTTACTAACATTAACCAATTCATGAGGTGATAGGTTCTGGACAGATATTTCGCTCTGATTTTTTGATGGATCTATTTTGATTTCTCCAGTATTACCCAACTCTTTCTGATGTGCAGCTTCTAATTGAGGATCCTTCTGAGGTAGCCCCAGTTTCTTGCGAACATTTGGATGGTTTAGAGATAGTTGCTGTATATAAAAAGGTAATGAGTTCTAAGAAACTAATTTTTCCAATATTCACCACACCGATTGATTCATGAAGATGTGCGAAGTGCAACCCTAAGAAGCAACATTTTTCAACGACCGCTGTTGGACAAGGAAAAATTTACAAAAGAGAACGCCAGCTACATACGATTTGCTAGACAGACTGTGTCTAGAGGGAGCGAAAGAGAAATAAAGAGGAGATCATAGACATTTTCCAAGGGAAATTTGAAGGAAAATTTCTATCTTCATTATCTAGTAGTTCATCTATCATGCTCTCTTTCCACGTTAGGAGGAGGAAAAAGCAAATTTGAAACTTAATGCCTTTTGTGTAATAAAACCTCTTCGCATCCAATGCATAACACGAGAGGTTACAAAACTTCCTAACAATAACAGACTACTTTAGCATTTGTCGGCACACCCAGTCAAGCAAGAAATAAAGTTGGGATGAGGAACCTTAGGAAGAATACTTCAGAAGAGATACCTGAATAACAGTCATCGAACTATTGGTAAGCCAAAAAACTAAACTCCCCTGAAAAATAGAAATATGAACAAAAACTTCATGTCATGCACACAATCCTTTGTCAGGTATATCAAGATAGAAAGGCAAGCAAATGAGTCAGAAAGACAATGCAATTATTTTATTTTGCAATCCCCTCTCCTGCTATCCAACCCAACACCGAAAATTTTAAGAAGATTAAAGAAAAAGTTAGTGATCCATCAATGTAAATATCTATTTGTATGTGATCAGTCCACCACTGCTACCATTCTTTCACATAAACCTGACAGACAACTAAATCAAGTTTCTCCATCCATCATCAACTTCAAAATCCATAGGGGCTTCCCGTTCTGCCAAATTTTATATTGTACTATTGGGGTAGTCTCGGCAGGTCATATTTCAATTGGCAACTCATTAACTTCCAAAGCTCAGCTTTCACCAATTTCAAACAACCATTGATGTGCCACTTGTTCATCACTATATCAATTACATTAATTGCATGTCTTACCTAGTACAATCCATCTCAGAGGCAATAAAAAAGAGAACAGTTCGCAAGAGAAACTAACCCTATCAGACAAAAACATTAAATCATGATATACTACTTGCAATCCATCCAATTATAATATGGTTTGAGTCTAATAACTTTATAAAAGCAAGAGATAGGCCCATAGAGCTGCAAATTACAATGAAAAAAATCTCCTACCGTGACTGACTGACTGTCCAGAAATCCTAGGTAGACATATTCAAGCTAGTCATGATGCAAACCACCTAGAAAAGCAAGAACATTCCGACTATTCCAATTCACAGCTCTAACATGATGAATTGCTCAGGTACTGAGATACTCAGATTCAAAGCAGAAAAAACAGTATATTTACAATACCATAAACCCTTTTTTCCTTAAATATCAAAAACAATTTTAAGATAAAAAAGGGTCACAAAGAATGGACACAAAAGTCAAAAGTGTGCCTCCATTAACAACTTCCAAGAAAACAATGATTCCAGCTATTGTTGAGACCAATAAATTAACAGGACCAAAATAATGTTCCGGGGAAACCAACATAAATAGTTCAAAGATCAAAAATCAGTTTCCTTCTTCAAGTTATCTTAAAATTGGACCACAAAGCTAAAAATAATTAAGGAAAACATGGGATGCCAAGTTCAAACATAAAAATGGACAAATCCTACAGCACATATTTTTTTGGAATCAAATGGTTGATTACCTGGGGCATATTGAATGTAATAAATAAAATGGGTAATGTCAGGACTTCCAAGTACTTCTTGTAGAACTGTAACCAAAAAAAAAAGAAGTGAAAGTGTTGAGACTTGCATCTCAAAATTATCATCAGGAAAACAGAAAACTATTGATAACATACTAATGATCTATGTTGCTCGGACTCTCCAAAAATGATGCCGCACCGGTGCAGATCTTTCAAAAATGCACTACTTTTGAAGGATCCAACAAGCACCCGTTGACATCTTTAAAGAGTCCGAGCAACATAGCTAATGATCACTAGTTTCTTTGAGGGGATTCCAGAATTTAGAGTAAGTGGGTTTAAAGATGTACACCCCATCTGTTTAAAGTTGTCCTTTGTTTTGTGTGAAGGTTTACGAGCCTAAATTTGAGAGTTTTCCCATAACACCTCACACGTTCGTGGACATTCAATTTGATTTATTAATATTTTAACAAAGATATTTTAGTTTTTTGATGAAGTAAGATGTTGTATTTGAAAGGCATCAAGGAGATGCAAGTTACACACATAAAAACATGGTTACCTCCTGAGAAAAAAACAAAAAGAATGGTCGCTAATGATATCTAAGAAGGGTAATATATCATTAACAGAGGATAAATTGCTCCAATGGGAGAGCTTAATAAGGGAAAAGGATTTCAAACTGCTAATCCAAAAATGAAGGATGAATTGTAATTTGATTTTGGGTGTGAAGAATTTTGTATAAAGGAGGCAGACTCCATACCAAACTTTTTGGAAGCCTTGTGAAATATATAGGCCTTTTACTTTCTGTTCTAGAGTGGTCAGGCCCAGCACTAGCTTTATGCTGATGAATAATATGTTAACATTATCAAAAAATAATTTTATATCTCTAGATACTTGAATTATATTTCAAAGGATTGAGAAATCGATATCCAAATTCACTTCACAAATTCTATGGTTTGATACTCGTACTCCGAAACTAGGCATTCTTTTTGGATAGGAGGATAGAATTTTTAGATTTTCTCAAATTCGTCAGATGACTGTGGTAATAAGATAATCGATACAAATGGAGTTTGAATAGAGATTGGTTAAGTCCCTTTATTACGCAGCAAATTGACGAAAATCACTTTTAGATCAAAGTATGAGGATATATCACATAAATTTCTGACAGATTACTGAGTACTGACCTTGGCTATTAATCCCACGAATCCACTCATTTTTTCAACTGAAGATTTCTGAAAAGATACCTGAAGTAATAGAAAGAGAGAGATCATCTCTATCAAAAAGCATGGAGAAAAAACACCTCGAACATCACTTGCATAAGAAACTAACCAAGCTCACTATACTATATTCTCGAATACACTGTGCGGCATTCTCAAAATAATCAATTTCAAGAAAGTGTTTCTGGAAACTTGTTTTCCCCCCTTATATTCCCTTCCCATTTACGAGACAAAAGTTTGTAAAAGTCATTTGGTGCGCAAGGGCAGGAGAAATTTTAGGAAAAAACTTCTTTTAAATGTAGCCCCTTGATGTTTTTCTTTCTTATTTATTTATATTTATTTTTTTGAGAAAGGTAACATTACTTCTATATATCCACAGGTATACTACATCAAAGTGTAGTCCCCCTCCAAAAAGTTTTACTTACATCATTCCTAGGATCTTCTAGTTACAACCAGTCAATAATATTAAACACATTTTCAGTATCTCCTATCACTACTTGCTTACACCAAAAATAATAAAGCCCTAGGCAATTAGTCTTTATCTTCTGGATATTGTTTTGTTTTCCTTCAAAGCATCTTTGATTCCTTTCCTTCCAAATTGTCCACCAAATGCAAGCTGGGACAATCCTCCATCTCTTCTCATTTTTTCCTGCATTTCCATCCCTGTTCCAACATTGTAGGACTTCTATAATACTCCCAGGCTTTGTCCACTTAATCTTCCTCTTTTGGATAAACATCTGCCACAATTGATCAGTCCATTTGCAGTGTAAAAAGAGATGGTTGACTGTCTCCACATGTTCTTCACATAGATAGCAACTAGAGCGTAGATTGGGTTTCCTCTTGTTTATTTATATTTTTTATCAGGAGTAGATAACACTATTTGGTTTAGCTAACATCATATCATGTTTTTCAAATTTCGAAAACACACGAGTTACTTTCCAATTAAGTGAATTCTGCTATTTGAATCCCATCGCCAATAAATTACCAACTACTTATAATATTCTTCCCACTTTCCTCGTCTGTTTCTTTCCCTTTCATCTTTTGGTTGATTATCTTTCTTCCTCATTCCCAGCCCCTTTTATTGGTGATTCTTTCTCTTTCGCTTCGCATTTGACGTCACACTATCAGAACTTTTATCCACTCATCCTCTGAAAACACACTGTTATTTCCCCAGGTCAACCTTCTCGATTCTTAATAACTCACAGCCACAAGAAATATGGGCACTATCAGATAAATCTTTTCCATTGTACTATTGCATCATTTTTTGGGTGAAAGCTTTTCGGCTTAGGCAGTTGAGTGAAATGAAAATTGAATTATGCCTTTAGATAGACCCTGTTCAAGTCTTATCTCATACCCTGAAACTGTAGCTTACTTGAACTAGATTTTGCAACTGTGACCATAAAAGATGGCTTCTTGAACCAATTGTTAAAGTCGTGTGTGGTAGAGAACATTCTTCTTCTTCTTTACTGGATAGCGATGGTGTCCAAGCAACTTGAACACACCTCGACTATTCCACAAAATACTTGCACACACCTCGACTTTTCAGGCCTGCCCCAAACATTAAACAGTATCCAAGACCCACCAACCATTGCAAGGTGGGCACCAAGAGAACATGTCTGAACATAAAGTGATGGTTAACCAGCACAAAATTGATCATGTTGACGATCAAATACCTAAACATAAGTAATATTGGATAACAGTCCACCCTCCAAACAGAAAAGGAAAAGGAAATTATATATGAAAATGTATCTAGTATCAAGGCCAAGAACAAGGTACAGGTCTCTTAATCCCGTAATGAAACTCTGTTACCAGTTACCACAAAGAAAGACAACAACAAAACAGAAAGGCAGTAAATCTCAAGTTTGATAAAAGCAATATACCTGAACGTTGATATAATGCAATCCAGCAATCAGTAATGGAAAGACTGGCCCTAAAACACCACTAGGGATCTCGGTCAAGTTCTGGAACCAAAGAATGCCCCCCTACAATGAAATGAAATGGAAATAAGTATCATCAAGTGGACAGAATATTTATTTTTATTTTTTTAAACGGAAGTGGACAGAATATTTAAACTCAAAAAAGTTTCAAAGCTTTAAGATTTATCATATAGATACAGGAATTAGACTACTACTCCCTTTGTCCCAATTTATGTAGCCTTTTCCTTTTTACTTTGTCCCAAAATGAATGTCATTTTTCTATAATTAGAAACAATTCAACTTTAAAATTCCCCAGTTTACCTTTAATTAAATGATTTATAGTCACACAAATATCTAAGGTTTGTTTTAAACCACAAGTTTCAAAGGTCTTCCTTTTTAAAAACTGTGTCAGGTCAAACAGTGCCACATAAATTGGGGCAAAGGGAGTAACTAAAGCAATTTGGTAAGAACAAACTATATTACTTTTTCTATTAAAGTCCAAGCAATTTGGTAAGAAAAAACTATATACTTGGCTATTGAAGTCCTTCATAAAAAATTTGACGTTCTCTATCAACTACTATTCATAGAAAAAGTGAAGACAGCAGTGAGGAGCTTGTAGAGAGGGAGGTGGATGAGAAAAGAAATGACTTCTGCTAGAGGCAGATCAGGATCATTCATGGTATAACTGAGTGGAGTTTTGTGGGAGTTCATGGACTAGAAGGTGAGAGTCCAAAATAGAGAGTTGGGACAATGATAGACTAGTCTGGGATAGGAAGTAACATGGGTTATAAAAGGAATTTGAATAAGATTAGGTTCCCTGATGAAAGTGTGGGACGTGAGATATATTCTGAGGCAAGGGAGGGATCTTAAATTTTATTACTATCACCAACTAGTTGACTTCCCTTGGACAGGTATCAGATTTACTAGGTCCAAAGTAAGGATTCAAGACCAAGTCAACACTTGAGATCTTAGTGTAGGCGTTTATTAGGTCTAGACATCCTAGTGGCCAATGAAGCTCTTGGCTGGAGATTGAAATCAGGTGAGTCTGGGATCAAATGAGTTCGATGGATCAAGTTTTGCATCACAAGTGACATATACTCGGTGCTAGTAAATAGAGAGCCAGCGGGGTTTTTCACTCCTCATAATGGGATTAGACAGGGCCATGGAGTGTTGTTTGGAAGAGTGTGGCTCCCACTAAAGTGAAGTGTTTTGTCTGGTTGGTAGCTAGGAGAGCTTGTTTGACTCATGAAGCATTACAGGAAAGGAGCATCAACATAGCCTCTAGATGCTTACTATGCAAAGAGACACTGGAAACCAACAAACACTTGTATATGCTAGAACACACAGCAGACTTATTGATTTGTTGGATCAGAAGGGGGAGCAACAGCCAACAAGAGTCAAAAGAAGTGGTGGAGGACCGTACCTGCTTGTATCTGGTGGAGCTCAATACAGAAGATTAAATGGAAAGTAATTACTTCCTTAGGTTTTTGGTGTAAAGAACAAAATATTGAAGAGGAAATCCAATTAGTGGATTCAAAGATTATTGATAAGTATTTCTGTTTTTTCCCCTCCCTTCTCTGTTACTACTTTTTGGAGGTGGTCACCATAGCCCTTAATGCTGGGGAATACAAGTTACTAGTTCAAAAAAAAAACGAAAACCTCATTGGATGTGTGTAAAATGCGCTCTTTGTTTTCAGGAGGAGATGCGACGAAGCAAAAGAAGAGGAAAAAACAAGGCAAGCGAACTATTTACTATTTATGTTGCATATATTGAGTGCCTCACTTACTTGAGAATTACCATTTAGTTTCACCGGTATGTTGTCGAATCACATGTTATATGCATCAACAATGCTTATACAGTCAGTTTTTCACTAGCATGTTATATGTATCAACAATGCTTATACAGTCAGCTTTTCACTAGGTGTATCAATTGAGCCTTGTAAAAGATGATGATACAAAACCAACCTAAGCAAAATTAAGGGGAGAAAGAAAAAACTTATAATACCAGAAGAAAACCAACCCTGCACAAGAATTGCATAAATGAAAAAGGGTGTTCTTACACAATCAAAGCCTTCATGATGATGCAGTGACATTCTTCTAATAGTCGTAATCCAAAGAAGAAAGCAGGGCACCTAAAATGCATAAAGATCATGACCAAGATGACAAAATTAATCTACAACATCCTACTATGATCAATAAAGTACCAAATTTCATGCGGAGATTTCAAAAGCTTCGACTGAATGTGACAATAAAAAAAACATCAATATTGATCTACTTTTTTGTGTGAAGTCTTCTAAAAATAAAGCAAACAGACACGGAAAAAGAAATATAACTTATTGTAGTCTAACTCCTACTCATCTAAATAGGCAAATAATGAATTCTAAAACATGAAAACTTTCAAATTTTTGTTTTCTACACATGGTTTTCAAATAAAAGTAGCAATTTCCTCAGTGCTCTATAATGTATAATGAAAAATAGTCAATTATCTACCATATATGGAAAGTCATCAGAGGCAAATAAACTTGATATAATAAATTATATAGGATTATCACCTGAACTGTCAGAGAGGCGAAGTACCAAAAAAATGAAGGACAGCCTGCCGCTCGTTTCTCCTTGAAAAAGATTTTAAGTTGGTCTCTAAGACTCCTTCCTGACATAGGCGGAGGCAGTGGAGGAGGCACTTAAAAATGCATAAAAAGATCAGTTAAAAAGTAATAGCTTCTGGCGTGCATACATTTCTATTAAGAGGTAAAATATTATGTCCGCCGTCTCAAACAACTCATTGAGGCTAGCCTCTTCATTCTTTCTTTTCGTCTATATTTGTTAGGGTGGACATGTCATTATGAGATTGATTCTTTACAGAACAAAGAAAATAGCAGCATCAGCAAAGTTATCTTAGTTCTTTTTTTCATGTCTTCTTTAATCAGTAGTGTGTGGGCTAGCTTGAGAGCACCTCCTCAACTGATCTACAGGGCAACTTGGCTGGATCACAAGCATAGGTTTCCCAATTCATGCCCATCAAGGCTGAAGCATACGGGACATACCAAGTATTGTAGCTGGGATTTGAACCTGGCGTGTCCACATTGTTGCTCTCATGCCTCAACCACTATGCCATCCTCTTGGGAACATTGTGTAAGTTTCATTTTAAAGAAGAGCACCTCTAGAAACATGAATTATTAAATGAAACTATAGCCAACTCTACTCTAGGGTGAATATATAGTTATATACTGAAGCACTTGGAGGGAAAGAAGTAGAACTGACGATAAAGTATATACAAGTTTAGTGAATCTTGGGCAGATTTTAATACTTTAAATAGGTATGTCGACAATTTGAAATTGAAAAGAGTATTGGGAAGTTCGTTGTGTTTGGACATAATTTCGCTTGGAAACAAAAGTTGAAGTTCAGAGAGTAAAAAACATTGTTTCACTTGAGATACTCCTCAAACAAAGTATTTTGACTTCAAATTCTCTATTTCAAGTTGAAGTTAAAATAATGGACCAAATTGTAAAACACACATTTATGGGCAATTAACATCTCAACTTGAAGTTGAGATAATGAAATAATTTGTATGGACAACAGGCCTTAAATATCTTTGTTCCGAAATTCCAACCAAAGGGAAGAGAGGCCCACCTACTCATTCCCCTCTTCACTCCATACTACTTTTTGAGTTCCAAAATTAGCATCAGATAAAGGGAAATCAATGGTGCTGAAAACAAAGCCTCACATTTAGGAAATAACTCTCCAATTCTCTTCAACTTGTGGAGTTGCAATAATACAAATGGGAATAACGTAAGCCTCAAAGCCACTGTTGAAGAAACTATAATGATCCACCTGCAAACCAAGTACGTACAGTGTATGATTTCAAAATCAAGGGACCATATACTAGCATTGGATAAAATTAGAAAAAGAAAATACTAAATCAAGACATTACAGAGTGTTCTATGGGCTTTTAAAAGGAACTTCGTCAATAAAAATGTTCCTCCGTGATTGAAAAACTGGCCAATCCTTGTGGGTAATTAATAGCCCTTGCAATAGTTGAGTTCTTATTAATGAAAGACTGAATTTTTTTGCAAGGTAAGGACAGAGCAGTTATTTTTCCACCATATAATACAATTCACAAGCAAGAATTTTCTGCATTGTTTGCTTAACTTCTGTATATGAATTTCAAGTTGGGTACCATGGCTCTTCTCACCTTACTGAATCAATTCTCAAAGCCATTTTTTAGAACTACATTTCAATTTTACAATGAAACTAGGAATTTTTAAAATACCAGCAAAAATCTTAGAATTTCTGAAAATTTATATAAAGGTGCTTAACAAAAAAATTGGAACGAATGGAGTATGTTACCATGGGAAGCCAGTGAGGTCATGATAGCCATCCAACAACGAAATCAAGGCACGTACCGGAAGAATGGACTCCTCAACACCTGCACTAATATTTTCGCTGATCAACAAATCCGTGTTCTCATACTGAGTAACCACTGAGTCGTCACTGATGCTACCGATTCGCGAGTCGCCAGTGGAGAAGGAACGGCAGAAGGAAACACTGTGCGGAATAACAAATTGCGGCTTTGATGGTAACAACGAGTTCAGAAAGTGGACATACCGGTTGTGCCTATGGTTGTGACAGCGGTAGTGATCGGAAGGGTTTGAGGGTTTATTGTGAGAATCTGAAGAAGTGAAATTGTGGAGAAAGTATATTTCCGGCGAATTACGAGAGTAACGGCGGTGCTGGAGGAATCTCTGAACCGACATGACGGAGTGGGGGTTGGTATCGGACGGCGGGTTACAACGAAACCAGGATTAACATAACTTTCTTTAAAATTAGTAATAACTAGGAAACATATCCGCGCTTCACGCGGTAAATTAATCAATTTAGAAAATATTTCTAAAGTACAAATTTTGTGAAACAAATATCATAAAACTTTTCATGTCTATGCATAAAAAATAGTTAAAAATATTCATTAAATATTTCTTATATAATTTTGTTACTAAAATTAGAGTTAGATGAATGGTATATTAAAACATTTTCATTTTTAAATACAATATATGTGATTCTAATAGTAGTAGGTTTGTTTCTTTCATCAAATATATGACATATTTGTTTTCCAAAAATTTCCTTCATTAAGAATAAAACAATAAAAAATAATGAAACTAAACATATAAAGGGAAAAAAGAAATATAAGAATCCACTACAATGGAATCGCTCCTCTTCAATTAGACGGTTAAAACTTAAAAGGTATTTACTACAATTTCTTTTGATTATAAGATTGAAATTTTGAAATAATATTTTTCTTTTATTTAATTATAAGTATTTAAAACTCTTTTCTTAGTTATTATCCTATGTCCAAAATCAAGTCAACTAACAATGTCTTTCTCTAAGCTTATATATGAAAAGTATTATAAATTATAATTTTACTCATGTATTTATCAATATGAGTAAAAAGATATATATTAACTAAATTTTGATCGAAATTTATATCATTTGACTCTTAAGAAAGAACGAATTAAAAAGAGAGTAAAATTTTAAAAAGTGAAAAATTAGATAATAGGAATAGTACAATAGGAATATGATATGACCTTGTTACAAATTTATCCAAGATATAATATGGATTAATGGATGAAATCTTCATGTATTTATGCATAAAAATTAATTATTTTTGGTCAAATTGGTTCGAAAACTTTGTATATCACCTATTTTATAATTAATTAAGTTCATAGCTTAGATTTTTTAAAATTTGCAATTACAAAATTCTCTAATTTTAAATTTAAAAGTAGATATTCTAACATTAAAAAATATTTGTTAAAATAATCCATATCTTATGTAAAAAAAAACTATAGATTACAAAGTAAAAAAAAAATTAAATGTAATTTTGTAAAATATTCAAAATATGAAATATTTATCCTCTACTAATTTATAATCCGTAAAATTTAAAATGGTTAAAAATGTATTGATGAAGAACAATGTCACGAAATTTTTTAAGCCTCAACTTGTTTAGTAACTCTAAGCTTATATATGAAAAGTATTATAAATTATAATTTTACTCATGTATTTATCAATATGAGTAAGAAGATATATATTAACTAAATTTTGATCGAAATTTGTATCATTTGACTCTTAAGAAAGAACAATTAAAAAGAAAGAAAAAGATTTTAAAAAGTGAAAAATTAGATAATAGGAATAGTACAATAGGAATATGATATGACCTCGTTACAAATTTATCCAAGATATAATATGGATTAATGAAAGAAATCTTCATATATTTATGCATACAAATTTAATTATTTTCTCAAATTAGTTCGAAAACTTTGCATATCATCTATTTTATAATTAATTAAGTTCATAGCTTAGATTTTTTAAAATCTGCAATTACAAAATTCTCTAATTTTAAATTTAAAAGTAGATATTCTAACATTAAAAAATATTTGTTAATATAACCCATATCTTATCTAAAAAAAACTATAGATTACAAAGTAAAAGGAAAAAAAAAATTAAATGTAATTTTGTAAAATATTCAAAATATGAAATATTTATTCTCTACTAATTATTTATAATCCGAAAATTTAAAATGGTTAAAAATGTATTGATGAAGAACAATGCCACAAAATTTTATAAACCTCAACTTGTTCAGTAAGAAAACTTTTTAGCCAAAAGTAATGTACCCCTTCTCTAATTGCTTTCAAAATTTTCTTGATTGCTTCCTCTTGACTTTTCTCAAAATCATATTTTTAAAATCCTCATACTATTTCAACATTTATATGAATTGGAACAATTTAATTAATTCAAATAATAGAAGAAAATTCTTAGACATTCTTAGTATAATTTGTAAATATACGCATTTCTCAATGAAACAAATTTCTATTATATTTATGAAGAATGGACAATTAGATCATTTCAATGATGAAAATTTTAAAATAAATAAAATAATGATAATTCACAAGGAGACTATAATTAGTTGGAACTTGGAAGCCATATATATTAACAAATAATTGATACATATACTAAATCAAAAAAATGGATCAAGTCGCATGTTGTTTCCTCATTAGGAATCAAATCATTAATCCAAATTCATTGAGATAATCTTTTTTGGCCTGTACTTCAAGAGGATCAGTGACAAGTCCAATCAACTTTAAAATCTCTTGTTTTTTTCTTCACACGTGTGTTTCACGAGGCAAGGACCTAGTTATCCCTCAATCGTTATTCCTTTGTTTCAAAAGGAGCCAGAATCACCTCTTTTTTCGATCATGTTCATTTGATACATTTTCTACACACATAAAATTCATAATAAGCTCAAAACACTCAAAATAATAATCTAACAATACAATTATGCATAGAATATAAAGCAATAAGTTATTATTTGCCAATAACATTGTATAAATATAAAATTTTAGCCGAATACCACTCCACAATTTGGCATCTGTAGTTAGAGTTAATCTAAAAAAGGAAGAGAGATCAAGGAGCCTAGCAGCTGATTACATATGTGAAATGAAAGAGGAAAGTTGTTGATGAGATAGAGAATGAATATGTACCTTTAAGCCTTGGAAGGAATTTAATTAGCTGTAGAGAGAATATGCTTAGGAAAAATAGTGAGGATTAACAGAGTTTAAATAGCTATTAAAAATTAAATATAATCATTAATGTTGCAATTACTGAAAAAATTAAACTTTTCTAATTAGTGCTAATTTGTAGATAATCAGTTATGTGGATTAGGAAAACGTCCTAAATTTAATTGGAGAAATTAATACGTGTTATAATTATACTAAATGCACCACTATGTTCTTAGCCGTTACATAGTTTATTTTGATAGTAAAAGTAAATGTAAAAATGCTAATAGTAAGGAAAGAGAGTAACTGTTAATAATAAGGACAGAGAGTAAATGTTTAAAAAGTTTTTTTGAACAAAAAATAAAAGAATTTTTTTTAAGAAAATAAATAAATAGTAATAGAGGCCAATGAAGCATGCCACATCAGCTCTTTTTTTTCCAGCTTTATATATATATATTGATTTTTCATTAAAAAAGCATAACTTTCTTAATCAATAGTAGAGCTGTCATGGGCTGGCCCACCCCATCCGGGTTAATTTATACAGGCTTTGAAATTTTACGGGTCAGGTCGAGCTAACCCATTTTTTGTGTGGGCCAGAAAATGGTCGGCCCAGCCCACAAGTACGTGGGCTACGGACTTTGCCGGGCCAGACCTTTTTTTATAAAAGTATAATTCTTATAATTTAAAAATATTATCATAAATATCGACAAGACAATAATACATAATGTTAGTGTTACTACTTGTTAATCAAATCCACAAATAAAATTATCTTTATAATATTTATTAAGTTTGATTTCAAGTAAAAACATAAATAGCTAAATAGAAATATTAACATAATTGTTTTTCAATAATCATAATAAAACACAAAAACTATGACAACATTCCATAGGTTAGGGCATCTCCAATCCAATCCTCTATTTTACTCTACAAATATAGAGTTCTCTATTTTTTCAGACAACCAACTCCAACTCAATTTTCTATTTTACTCTCTAAAAGGGAATCTTTTTCTCTCTCCTCAATATTATATTATTATTTCTATTTCATTCTTATTTTCTTATTTCATAATATAAATCATTTATTTCTTTTTTCCCAAATAATTACTTTATATAATTTTTAATGTGATATAAAATTATTTTTTATTCTAAATTTTTAAATAACATAAATTGCAAGAAAATATAATATAATACATAAATTAGGGGACAAATTCAAATAAAAGTGACATACAATTACATAAACACTCAATTTTCAAAATTATTACGTTGCTCGCATAAATGCTCAATTAATGCATTACAGAGTTCAAAATGAGCATTTTTGTCCTTAATTTTTTTATGTCTAGCTAAAAATTGTTCAAACCGGAGATTTTCATCTATCACAATTTCTATAGTTGGAGTTGGAGCCTCTACGACATCTTGAATTGGTGCATTGAGATCACGTTCATCCTCAATTATTATGTTGTGCAGTATAATACATGTAGTCATTATATCATGTAGCACTTCCTTTCTCCAAAAACGTGATAGTCCTGCAATAATTGCAAAACGTGATTGCAAAACTCTGAATGCACGTTCAACATCTTTTTGGCATGATTCTTGTTTCATCACGAAATATTTCTTTTGTTGGGAATGAGGATCACGAATAGTTTGAACAATTGTAGACCATTTAGGATATATACCATCAGCTAAATAATAACCCATATCGTATACCATCACAACTGAAGTCACAACCACAATCACAACTACAATCACAACAATTCTCGGAATCATATCCTAATTTTTTTTCCAAATAGTGCTAAATCTGGAAACGACCTACCGGATTTCTAAATTATTGTTGTGATCAATTAATTATTATGTTATGTATTGTATTTTATCTTGTATTTAAATTATTATGTTATGTATTATATTGTATTGTTATCTTGTATTTAAATTATTATGTTATGTATTATATTGTATTGTTATCTTGTATTTAAATTATTACCCCGAAAAAAGGAAGCGACTTTTCCCGGAAAAGCAGAGGGGACAGTCTTTGGCCCAGGTAAAATAAAACCAGGCCTCCCCTTCCAAAAAAGAATTATGAATATTAGATATTTAATTAATAGAATTATATGTAAAATAATATGTTAATTAGAAAGTAATAGAAATAATAATAAAATAATGAAAAAGTGAAATAGAGAATGTGAATTGTAGTTCTCCAAATTTGGAGAACTACTATTCAACTCTCTAAATTTGAAGAATAGAGGG